TGTTTACCGAGAAGTTAGTTCATTCGGACTGGAGGGTGTTTGGACAGACCCGGTCCAGTCGGTGACATTTGACGGTCAAAACACCAATCATCTTGTCGGGGTTTCCAATGAAGTACGACTGGTTGGATTCACTTGAATTTACGGTGAATTCACTTGAAGTTACAACGGATTCGCTTGAAGTTGAAAAGGTGTAGGCACGTTCGGTTTCGCATTCTAGCCACAGCGGAGGCAGTTTCCATTCGTCTTCACAATCCCCCTCAGTGTGCTCAGAAACAATTTGTGCAAGCACTCAAGCTCCCATGGCCGGATTGCCGACAAGTGACCTGGCATGAAGCATCAGAGCAAATGATAATTGGGGACCAATAGTGAAACAAACTGTTGAATACTTTAATTACTTTTCTTCTTTTTTCCTTGTAAATCCTTCTGTGTTACCAGCCATATTTATTGTGTTGTAATGGCGTGCCTAAGACACATTGAAAACGAGCTTGTTTACCAATTTGTCTTCTCATCCTGTTTTGTTTAAAACTGGACATCCATCTCTTGTTAGGTTATTCCCTGATAGAAGCCCGAAGTCGTAGACGTTATAATGCAGAGATCGTTCGCTAGGCGAAAACTCCCTGTGTTTTTGGACACGTGTCGTTCGCGACCGCTTACTCAGTAAAGCAGTGCACACCTTTTATGATCACTCATCTGAGTGACCTTCTATCCGCACCACGTGGTGTACTGATAGCTTCAGATTCGAGGTAACCCACCTCCAGAACGAATAACCAAAACCTTGCGCAAAATTACTGCCCTTTTTGCTGGAGTTCACTATCATGGTTTCCTTTTCTTTTCGGTTTTCTAGTAGATGTGATTTTGTGTCCTTGTGCGATGATTGCGGCGTCGATATGCTTCAAAGTGGCAAGCGGGCTAGCTGGCCCTTATGTGGTTCATCACTCCAAGCCCCGTGTCTTAGATTGCCGGTTACCATCACTGAACAGCAGGTCTTTGTGACTATGGGGTTCGCCCCGACTGCTGTTCATCACACACAGGTTTGTAATTAAAAAAGTTGCCTGATCTAGAGTGCGCAAGTCAAATTTTACCATTGTGGTCTTAGGGCTCACTTTGATATGCTGGGAGTTCATTTTGCACCTCCAAAGTGTAAGAGGCCTACCTCAATGTCAGAAGGCTAAGCTGCCTACTGGCGCGTCCTCAATCTGTCGGGATCAGCCTCGAGATTGGAAACTAGCCTTGTATAAGATAGGGTCATGCTCAGTGGGTGGGATATCTCAGGCAGTAGCGATGCCCGAGGACGTGATGGAGTTTCTCTTGACTATCGCCCTCCCTACGAACCCTT